CTGTGGGAGTGGGACGGGACAGGAGTGAAAATCCACTCCCGTGTCAGTCTCTAGTCTATTAGCCTATTTACACCAGGCTTTTGAAACCATGCTGAGAACTGTCTGCGCATGGCAACCGAGATAACAGCCGAGTGTAAATGAAACGCAACTGAACTGGACCGAGCCAGACAAAACTGAACTGCACTAAATCTAATATTGGTTCAACAGTAGGGCTTGGCACGGTTCATCTGTGACTTGGTTCTCTGATAACAAAGAGTGCATGAGCAGACGGCGTCATCTCCTATTTACAGTCAGCTGACTCATTTCGCAGGTTTTCCGGCATGTTGGGCTTTGTATTTACAGATCTCTTCACCTGTTCACAACAAGAACTTCTTTTCAGCCTATTAACAATAACTGGCATCAAAAGAGTGCGGTGCGACCTGGGATGATGCCGAGACCAAGAGGAATGACTTCTTCTGCTGACAATCCGCAAAAGACGAAATATCGTTAATATAAACAAACATAAGTTCCTGAATGTGACAGTAGCAGCCATTCAAAATGGCCCCTCCCAGTCAAAGAGCAGCTGAATGGCAGCAAACTTCCACTGGAGCCACTGGAGTGACTCCCTCCTTTTCCTGGGCCTGGATATGTTTTCACTCCGACTCCAACCTTTCACTAAATTACAGGGTCTGACCAGGAGATGGCGCTTCTCTTTAGATTTAAATGTCCACAAATCATGAGGGAAAGAATATTTCAGTACAAGGACTGATGTTTAAAAAAGGAATTGTAGGGGACCAGCCAAGGGCCTATCAAGGAAATGGGGAAATTTTGAATGGCTACTAATGTATGGGCGCCACCATTTTTGTTTGCATAATTCCCACCTTGAGAGCTGTAGTATTGTGGGCGAGGAGCCGCGTTATCATGATGTGTAAATGGTTGTAAGGAAAAACAAGTTCAGCACACTTAACTGATCCAAGCTCGGTCCAAACTCATCACGGATCAGTTTCAGAGGGCTAGTGGGAACGGGGCAAAAGTCTGAACATGAACCCGATGGCTTCTCAGTGATTAGACTTTAAAAACAGGCTTAAACGTCTCCTCTTTTTCAGCCCCAGGCTCTTTAGGGCCTCGGGTGTGTTTGGGGCCCCTCACACCTTCTACTGAGCACATCCTTCTGCTGAAGAAGCCTTCTAAACCTTATAAAGACAAACACACTCATGCACAGGGGTTGGATCTTAGTGTTCACCTAGTTATACAAGACACAAAGCAACAGCTCCACATATTTCTCTGAATAACATTATGGTTTCTTTGTCATTTTTGCCTGACGGACATCAGTTCTCAGTGTTTTACTGGCAAACAGGACAAGTAGAAAGATTGGTCAAACATTTAACTCCGTAATAGAATCTAAATTTGATTACGAAAACAAAAAGTCAGACTGTTTTATTGATAGAACAAACCTTCATCCTCATGTCCCGGCCATGCTTTTCCAGATCCTTCCTCATCTCCTGAGCTCCGAGCCGGGCCGCATTCAGCACCAAATACTTCCACTCGATTGGCTGAAAGACATGGGGGTCATGAGGCACGTACAAGCCAATCTTCACCTGAGAGACGGACAAAGCAGGTCACAAGTTAAACAGCCAGTTCATCTCATACTTTATTATTCCGTCCGCTGTGCTGCTTTCCCACCTTCTTCAAAGTGTGCTGGTATCTTTTGTAAGAGTTCTCGAACTCGGCCACCAGTTCTCCCAGTGTTCGGTGAGTCAGAGGTTTGTCCATCAGGTCCTGGCGGCGGCTCATGCCCAGGGATCCATAGCGACCGTTGCAGTAGACGCCAAGAACCACGTGATGAAAGCAGTGACCTGAAAACTGGGTCTTAAAGCTGATGGGGAATCGCTCGAGAGACGTGAGCCCGTTGGTCAGGTAGCTGATCAGGAGCAGTTCAGGAAGAAAACTCTGTCATCTTAGATTTTACTGTCTTTGTATTTCTGCCATGAAGTATCAAGACTAATGTTTTTCCTGAGAAGGAATGTGAAAGAAATGACTGGAACTGGGGATGAATGTGTTTGGATGCGGCAGAGGAAGCACAGCGGCTGTCATCACGTCTAATTACATTCAATTTGAAGCTAGAAAAGCACCATTGTTATGATCATACAGCCAAAGCTTTTTGTGATTGCATGTTTCCCTGCCTGATCAAATCAATCTTTCACAATCTTAGGTTTTTTTTTCCCTAGATAAACAACCAGACTATCAGAACCTAAAAAACCATATTAAATCATGAAACATTAAACGTTAAATTTCGTCAAACATAATGTGTTTTCCATCTTCCCCCTTCTGAACCTAAAAGTAGCAAATCAGCAACCTGCCACCCTTAAATAAACATAAAAATGAACCAGTTTCAAAATATAAAGGAGTCTAAAGATACCAGTAAATTTCTAGACAATCTCTTGCATGGATGGGAGCCAATCATCTGCTTCGGATAAACAATGGAGGGTTGTGATTGGCCAGAACATAGCGGTGCTGTCTTCATTAAACATCTCGTGTTGATTACGTAGCAACTTTGTCGCTATATTTAGCAACTGTCTGTGCCTCTAGTAACTGTCTTTAAGTTAAATTTGATAACATAAGTTTGACTAAAGCAGTTTTGGTTCAGGTACAATGTTGTTTTAGTTTTAAACTTATGTTTAGTGTTTTAGTAACTTCCCACTTGGTCAATTATGATATTCTCTCCTATGGCTAGATCAAAGCTAGCCTCGTGAGACCATCCTGATCTCGCGAGCTTTCAAGATTTCACTCGCTAATCAGTCTGGAGACTCTCCGTTAAAGAAAATTTGGAGCCGTTCACCAAACGAACGTCCAATCAGCGTTGGCTTTGAGGCGGGTTGAGGTGTGACGCCAACAAGAAGCAAGACAGTTCAGTCTAAAGAACATGGCGGCTTCAGCCGATGAAACTAGCGTTAGCGTGGCTATCGAGCAAGTTTTATCGGAATTACAGAGTATTTCTTCACTGAAAGAAGAGCAAAACACTGCTCTGGAGGCTTTCCTCAGAGGAAAAGATGTTTTTGCTCTTCTCCCGACTGGTTTCGGCAAGAGTAGCCTGGCTGTTAGTACGTCATATGCTTCGTTGATCTGATTGGTTTATTTGGCCCGTCTATCACCAACATAGGCCAATCAGCTAACCGGTATTTTCGCCCCTTCCCAAAATGACTTCAACGGAAGGTTTCCAGATGGATATGCGGAGCAAATCCATCTGGCGGAGTCAGGTTAGATCAAAGCATTAACAGGTATATAAAATTAGGTGATGATGTCATCTAGCACTTTTTAGGACAGCCAGTAGTGACTTTAACAAGACCTTGCAGAGAACTGTACCAGCGGTCAAACACATCTGTGTGTGTGTGTGTCCTCATATATGGAAGAAGGACACAGAAGCAGTGAAGGAGCTAAAAAAAAAAAAAAGAAAACAGGATGAACTGTAAGCCCCGCCCCCAACCTGTTTTTCCCCCTTCTTGCACAGCACTCTGAGCTTTATTTAATATACTTCACACTTACAGATAAAATGTTTCTACAGTAAAAAGTAATGCACAGAATAGATCTTTGGAAAGTTATCTGTCTAGTAGAACTACAGACAGTTTTTAGTTTAAATCTAGTCTGTGGGTTTTCCTACAGGTCCCAAGACACATGCCTTTTGTTTCTTCTTTGGTCACTTTTAGCTTAATCTTCCTAATTTCTTCATCTATTTTTCTCCTTTTAGCCGATGTGGCAGCCTGTGTGTGAAGAAACAGACACTGGATGACTCGCTGCCTTCTCTGGTCATTTAGCAGCCATGCTGTATTGTTTACATATCCTGCCTGGAATGTGCTGGAGGAGCTGCTGGCCGTAAAAGACTCCTCCCATTATCGTGTCATTAGTGGAGAAAAGTCGGCCCAGGTTGGCTCCAGTTCCTGTATTCGCTCAATCTCACACTTAGTCAATTGTTATCCGATTACATTTACTCAACAAACGCATTTTTCTTAACTAGAAAAGAGTATGAGGTTTAGTTCCTTTAAGTTTATTCTAAGAATACATAAAGTTTAATAATCAAAGTTAGTTACTTTTATTAGTTACGTTGGCATAATGACCAAAGGTAAATAATTATATATTTTTGACCCTTCAAAATGTATAAAAAAATTATTTGTATATTTTTTTTCAGTAAACGTACACTTTGTATTACGTTACATTTGTATTTTAATGTATTTGTTTAAAAAAATTGTGCTGCGAAAGCTGTGGCTTTTAATTGATAATTTTGACAAACTTCTATAAATTACAGCTGAGTCCAACAGGGTTCCTACAGCAAAAGGCAAGTTCAATTCAAGACTTTTTAAGACTTTTTAATGCCACTTAAAATAAGAATTCAAGACCAAATTCACAAGAAACACAAGAAAAACCTGCTTGTGACAACTTAACCCAAAGGTTTATTTTAACATAAA